TTATAATTTTTAATATAAAATTTTACTTTTCAATTTTAAGCAATTAAAATAATACATAATAATATTTAAAAAAATAATATTTTTAAATATTTATGAAAATATTAAAATATTTAAAAATTCATAAATATCTATTTTTGCTTAAACTTATTAAAGTAAAAAATAATAATGGTATTTTGGAATTATGACATGATTAATATAAAAATATTATGCAATAATCATGTTGTTGGACCTTTTCTTCATCAAAAACTCAATTTTGTTCCTTTTGCATGAGTTGGAATGTGAAACATTGTTCTTTGGTGTCCACATGATAGCCTCTATCCATATATCAATATAATCTATCAATGCTTATATTCTGGTACAATATAAAGATAGATGGTTCAAAATCTATGGATAGATGTTAATATCTATCGATAGATGTGTACACTAATAAGAAGATGAACTGGCTTGTATCAATAGATTTAAAAATTTATCGATAGATTGTTCATTGAAAAGCGTACATGATGCTTCCTTGCTCTGATAACCACGGCCTCCAAAACACTTTTTCTCTTAAATCTTCTCAAGTTCATAGTAATTTCTTAGATTCTAAACTGTCTAAAAGGTTTCCCTCTCTACTTTTGGCCTCGAACTCACAAATTAGCCTAGTATTGCTTCCAAATTGCATCGTAAATTTAGTTTAGGGTTTCATAAAACCCTAGGTCTCAATCCCCCTAATTATTGGATTCCCTTGCATTTTGAGGAAAATTCTCTTGATTAAATCATTTCCTTCATCCTCCTCGACATTTCTACAGAATCATTTAAGAACAAAACACCACAAGCCTCCAAATTTCATAAATTTTGAAAATGAGTCACAGAACTAAACTCACAAAGGTAACTGCTAACAACGGTTTAAACGGCTCTACTTGTTCGGAAACATCTTCAACCTCGATCTTGAGTTTGTTTTTGTTAAATTTCACTCATCCATCTCACGCTGAAAAATTCAACACCAATTTTGCCAAACGTAAGGTAATGGTCGGACGTATAATTGACTTTGATTACTTAAAGTCCATTGATTTCCCATACCTTGCGAACTTTGAAAATTTAGGGTGAACACATTATTTACACTTGAATCGAAAATACTATGAGAATTTGGCTCAGATCTTTTATTTCAATGCAACAGATAAATATGTTGAGTCAGAAACAAGTCAGCTAGTGAACCATGACGATACATTTGTCACCCTCATCCTGGGACAACGAATCCTTGTTACTCGTGACTTGATAGAACGAGTTCTTCACCTTACTTCCCTCTGAGAAAATCTTCGCTATGTCTTTGATAATGGTGACCTTCGATCAACATTTATCTACCTTCCACCAAATGATAGAGGCAATTCTAGTTGCACAAGGCTATGTTTCTTTGATCGAGTCTTGCACTTCATCATCATTCATACTATTCGTCTCATGACTCAAACTACTTGATTGTCACCATAGAAGACCCTTGGTTCTTATTTAACATCAACTTAAACCGTTGTATCGATCTTGCTAAATTCATCATGGATGACATGCTCTGCACCATTCAAAGGGGCATCAAAAACCTGCTTTATGGCATGTTGATCAGTGAGATCATAGACTACTTCAAAGTTGACACCCATTGTGATCTGCCTAAAAACCGTGCTTTGTTCAATCTTATCGATAAGCATAGTATTAAAAAGCTTGGTTTTGAGTTCAAAAACAATAGTTAGGTTAAGAAGGGGGCAATTGATAAGCTGGTATTTAATGAAGAAGGGATAAGGGTAGTCAAATGCGTATTGTAATGGCTCGTCTACTGCTCAACTTGGTGCATTCTACCACATTCAATGTTGAGCAAACTTTCACTAGACTCCTTTTATTTATGAAAACAATGGACTCTGGGTTGACTGCCCATATGAATTTGTTGGAAGCGTAGAATCGTGAGATGTTATAGTGCCAAAAAGACTTGAAGGGTCAATTTCGCTCTTAATTTCCACCACCATCATGAGTTCTCACTAGAGACATCTATTCTACTCCATTTTTGGACTATTTGATTCGATGACTATATGTGCATCAAATTTTGGTTGTATTTATATATTTTTCATAAGTATCTTTAGCTACATGTTTGTGGTTTCTATGTTTTTGAAGGTTTTTAGTATACTTTGAACTATTGCTACTTGCAATTCTTTAAATGAATGAGTTTTCTACTTTTTAGGGTTGCTTTGTAACTATGTTTTCCTCTTGAACTTATCTAGGTATGCCTGAGTGTCTTCTATTTTCAGATGTATTGTAAGGGGGAAGAATTTTTCCCCTCGTTCTTAATAAATACTTTCTCATTGGTTTTGAAAAACAAGCAATAATGCGCTTCATACTGCCTTTACAATATGTATCTATCAATAGATGTTCCTCATTTATCGAAAGATTTAGATCTCTATCAATAGATAAAGATCATCTATCGATCAATACATATTGTAAAGGTGTAATACCTAAAAAACCATGATCATCTATCCATAGATACAACTATCTATCGATAGTTTCTCACCCGAGAGCAAGACAAGCTCGGTAGCTATAGATAGATGCCAACATCTATCGATAGATTAGTAGAGGGTAGCATAGCACATCATTTATCTATTGATAGACATTATTGATCTATCGATAAATGATCAACCAGGAATAAGGGTGGGCCAATAACTATTGATAGTTTAGGGAACGATAGATAGATAGAGGACTTTTATGAAAATATGTCGATAGATTTATCAATCTGTTGATAAAGCTACTCATATTTTTTGAATGTTTAAAGAACATATATTGATAGATGACATATCTATCAATAGATAGGCAAACATCCCAATATAAATAACTTCGTCCATGTTTATTTTTTGTTAATTATTCTCTTTATACAATATTAGACTGTTTACATTTTCAAATATTTGGATCTAACCTAAGAAAATACCATAAACTTAACGATTACAACTTTAAATAAGAATATTGAAATAAAAGTTCAAAAGTTCCTAATATATTAACATCCATTCAAACACCAAGTATTCTTTACAACAAACAACCTTGAAATTGCAAACATTAATAAACATACAATTCTGACCAAACAACAATCGAAAAAAAGTTAACATTTATAAACTAATAACTACTTGTCCATTCTAAGCCTAAGCACTCTTTTCACATAAAAGATCTTGTATTCCTCTGACATGCTGTAGAAGTAATTAACCAACTTTTGGTCAGTGCAGATAATTTCTCCAACCGTAATAACATCATCAAGAGTCAACCCTTGAAGACCTTTAAATCCCTTACAGATCTAAAAACATCCATAGTCCTGTCATCTTCAGCAACCAAGTGTTTAAAACACTGGGCCAAGTTACCAATTTCAATAGTTGTAGCTTGATAAATATCCTTCAAGTCACTTATATTGTTAAAAAATACTACTTCCTCACTACCACTACAATCAGATTTGGTTTTATCTTTTTTTTTTTCGAATTGAATTTACCCAGGCAACACTGAATTCTTTCTTGTTGTGATAGTGGATGTCTCAATGTTGGCATTGACAGGTTGAGTACTTGACAAAATCTCTAGAATGTTGGCAAAGTTCACATCATCATCTTTATTCACAACCCAATCCATTGAATGCATCTGAAGTTGCCCTTGCTGCGACTTCTTCGGATTCTATGTTCTCCACAGCATTCGTCAGTGCTTCTACTCTTTCTTTAGTTGCCCTGTCTTTACCAAATATAATTGCTAACTTATCAAAATGCACAAAAAGCTTATTTTTAAGTCCTGCAGTAGCTAGATGACCCTGTAATTTAGTATCAAACTAAACATTAATGAAAATAAGTAAACAATTGTATGGATTGAATCAATATTAAGCACATGAAAGTGACATAAATAACAAGGAAATATTTGATGAGACCCATGTTGACTTACCTTCACCCATCCATTCCAAACGCCAACTTCACAAGTGACACATTTGTTCATGTCATCCCACCCAAAACCAAAAGCAAAATGGCCTAGCATTTCTGCAACTTTCCTATATTGTGACTGTAATAACCACATTTTGGATTGTATATGTGGGATGTCTTTAATTTGACAATTTGTGATCTTTTCAACCATCCATTTCTCAAGTTGTTGCAAGTAACCAGGCCTAAAAATCCCATTATCTTTAGAGCAACCACCAACTTTCACAAGATCCAATCAACAATCAATCAGAATTACATCTTCAAGAGTAATCCATTGATGGGTGGATCTCTTACTTGCCTTTGTGATCCTTAAGTTGATGTTCCTTCTATCTATAATAACAAAATGTTAGCAATTGCTTTTTGTACATGAGAGGTAGAGGTGTATACAAAAAGAACTTCACACCCTTTCACATAAAAGTTGCAAGAACCTTAAACCCGTCAACACATAAACTATGCAAAATATGTCCACCTTTATACAATCATTTCCCCATAACATTGTCAAGGTTAACAACCCTAAACTAAAAACCCTAACATTTAATAATTACAATGATGAAAATATACTATTATGTTATGTTTCATTTCTAGAAGCTAACCAATCATCCTATATTTCTTTTGCCGAGTTATTTCTTCAATTTTTCCATTCATTTGAGCTTTCAATGTATTGTATCATATATGCATTTTCTATTTCTACTAGTCTGACATATGCCTCATTGAATTCAGCCTTAAGTGGATCGTGTGTCATTTCCCTTCTAATATGATAGTGTAACAAAGCACAAGCTGATATAATTATGAATTTAGTTTTCAGTGGATACCAAGACCTCTCCCTAAGTATTGCCCATCTTATCTTAAGAAATCTGAAACACCTCTCAATAGCATTCTAGCACTAGAGTGCTTGTAATTAAACAATTCTTCTTTTGATTGAGGAGTTTGATTTTGCCTCCATTTATTCAAATGATATCGTTCACCTCTATATGGAGTTAAAAATCCTTCTCCATTTATATATCTAGCATCACATAAATAGTAAAAACTTATGATAAGAAAATAGTTTTGTATCAAGAACTAAATATATCAAGCTAACACTAATAAAACCCTATAATAATTAATTTAACATACGTCATCCCTTTACTTACATTTGGGCACTTTTAAACCACTTCTTCTAGAGATTGCATCTTGAAGAACCCTAAAGTTTGTAGCTGAACCTTCCCATCCAAGTAAGATATATATGAATTGCATATCTTATGAACATACCCTTAAGACATTTGTGTTAATCTCAATTTTCTTTGTTCTATAATCTAAGCTTATCATTTTCCAAGGCATTGACTTTAACATATGTCTTATCTAAAGCAAATAAACAATTCTATTGTTTCTAGTAGAGTGGTGACACAAACATATATCTTATTAGATTTAAAAAAAATAAAAGTTTTATATTTAAATTATAAAGAGAAACCATATTAAGTTGACCTTGAACCATTTTTGCCGTGGGTCAGTTGAATTCTCGGTTAGAGGCTCTGAATTGTTCAATAGTATTGCTTATAACCTCAATACAGAATTTAAAATCACATTGAATTGCCTACTCACTGTCTCACCACATCTAACAGACTCTCTCTTTATTATCTTATTCTTTGCATGATGAGCAATGACATATAAAAAGATTGCAACCATTTCCTCAACGTTCATGTGTGTTATTGGTTTAAGCATACCAATGATTTCAAGAAAATTACATAGTTTATAAAGGGCATTCTTGTCCATTCGAATATGCTCAACGCATGTTATATCAGAATTAACGACCATACTTCTAAAGTTCAATTGCCTTATAATATGCTTCTCATAACTAACACCATTATATGACCTCTTACGCTTTCTTTTCTTTAGACGCACGTAACAATATACATTAAACAAAACAGTAATAATCATTACTATTGTATATAACTGTAACGCCAATGCAATAGTAGATGTGATCATTGCAATTAACCATTTCAAATATGTACGCATTGTTTGAATAATAATAAAGAAAGACAACATGTAAAAAATAGTAAGATAATCCACTCTACACATGTAGCAATTTTAGAATTAATACAATAAAGAATCAAATAATAAGGAAAAGTATATACCCTAATCAATGTGTAATTAACAACAACTAACTAAAACACATTGTGTGTAGCATTTAATCCATATTTATAAAGACAAGAGAAGAAAAGAATACATGAATTCAACTTTAATACATTTTTCTTTTCACACACTATATAAACTCTGTTAAAAAATGATATTATTATCATCACTATATAAACATTATATATAAATAATTCTAATAAACCACTACAGTTGATATACCTCGAAACACAATATAAATACTATAAAACACTATATAAACACTACCTAAACACCCTAAATACTATATAAACTTGAACCAACCATCTTACATAAGCTACAAAACACTATTATCCACCCTTAACTATTGCTTTAAATCCAAAAAGAAAGACACAATTCTCCCTTTTCCCTTGTCCCTTTCTTTCGTTTCTTGACTAAAAAGCCTAAACCTTTCTACTTTAGCTATCTCCACAATGCTATTGTTATACATATTTTTCTAGGCAAAAATATGAAGCAGCAGGCAAAAACCGATCAAGCAAAATGCAAGAACAAAATCAATACTTTCCCTTTGCTGAAAATAAGTTAAAAATCTAAACTAAAACCCTAGCCCTTGCACCAAATATGAAGCAGTAGAGGGAGCTCGACCTCCTAATAGCTATACAAAATCAACCCTTTACACTAATGTTTCATTTGCATTAACTCTAAACCCATGGAGGAAACACACCCTAAAATCACAAAGAGCACTATAAACCTTTAAAACTTAATTTACTCAAATTAAAAAGCCTTAAAATACTCAAAAAAATATTTGAATGCTTGAGAAGTAAACATTGCAATCTTTTCTATACACACCTAAGCAGAAGAAGGAACACGGCTTCGAGGCGGCGAGAAGAAGAAGAAATGTGTGGGTAAAAAGAGAAGAGAGAGTAAAAAATGAGGGACTCTTGAGGTACAATGGGAAAAAAAGATCTTTTACTTTCCTTTTATTGAGGGAAAGTAACTTACCCTTGAAGAGCTAAGAGAATCAGATTCCTTTAATTGAAGGGAATGATTTTTCCAGTAACAAGATGTCACTTGTGCTTCCTTTTAACCAAACAATGTAAAATAATTACACTCTTTTACAATACAGAAAATGTACCTTACTTCCCTTCAACCAAACCGACCCTTAATGGGTCCTACATGCCTCCTTAGTTATCCGCACGCGTCATTCCCCTTCTCTAATACTATTGAGAAGCGCTGTCTCTCGCACTGTTTCAATTCAAACTGAAGACAAGAAGAAAGTAGAAAAGGCTAAATAGATTCCCTCGCCGGAATATTCTTTTGTTTTTCAGGTTAGATTCCGTTTCCTAATTTTGATGAAGAAAATGGCATTCGATTTACTGTACGACATTCGAATTACAAGAAATGTTTATTTTCATTTTTGTTTCAAAAGAAGCTGGACTTTTTTTTAGTGGACAATCGGTTCACTTCCTGTTAGGTTACCGAGAAAGTCAAGGAAAATTGAAGGAAAAAGGAGCTTTGAATCAATTGCATGGTGGTGCAAAAGAACTGCGTTAGTCAGCTTAGTTCGGTCAAGAGTAGTATTTATTTTTGTTGGTTTTGAATGTTGAAAATGGTGTTGTTTGATAGAGGATAAGTAATTTTTCCATGCGTCTAGTTTCTCAGTTTGAAGGTTACCCTTGATAGAATATTTTCAATAAAATTCAGTGTAGTTAAAATATTATTAATGCATTCAGGCAATGCTATTCTAATTTTTTTTTTCTCATCATTTGAGTAGGTTACCCTTTCTCTTATGTCATTATCTTCTTTGCCCTTAGTAGATGTTAAATTTCTGTACAAAATCACTTATCTCCTTTGCAAAAACCTCAATCAAACAGCATTTAGTTTGTCAGTATTTATCATAGGGATATTGGAATTACATTTTTTTGGCATTTAATTTCAATGGCATTTCTAACATTTTTCATAGTGTGATTTTAGTATCTAAATATTTTAGTTGGAACAATTCGATTGCGTGATTTTCCTTTTATCAAAGCATCACCTTAGCATTCATTTCTCTTACATCATCTCCTTAGTGTTGAGATGGATCTTGAAGTGATCAATTTAGCTCAGTTCTCAAGACAGCTTCATAGAAGAAATCTTGTGTTACCTGATTTGTTTTTCCTTTATTATCTTCTTCAGTTACCAAATACACAATTGTTGCTTTTCAAGAAATTTTGATTTCTAGATGAAGCGTAATAGGTAGGCAGTGGCTAGTACATTAAGGAATTGCTGATTTTTGCAGGAAGTGAAACAAAAAAAGGCTTAGATTTTAATACAAAACATTGTTTGTGTTTGTGTGTTGTCATGCACCTTGTCCGTGAGAATCTATTTATCGGAAACATTGGGGATGCTGCTCAAGTTCTGCAAAATGATGGCGCAGAGATCACACACATTCTATCAGTTTTGAGCTCCGCATCAATATCATTTTTCTCTGAATGGCGAAGTGGTCTCACAATCCCTACCAAGGAAATTAAAAAGGTTTTTGTTGGAGGGTCTGGTGGTGCTGCAGCTTCTGGGGATCATGCAGATGATGCTTCTAAGAGTTCTTTGTCACCCCAGAAGCTGTTGTACTTGTTGGAATATGCAGGAAAGGATTTAAAGCTGGTGAGAATGGCAGTGCCGATTAGAGATATGGAGAGTGAGAATTTGTTGGATTACCTTGATTCATGTATTGATTTCATTGATCAAAGCAGAAAAGAGGGATCTGTTTTGGTGCATTGCTTTGCTGGAGTGTCAAGAAGGTATCATCCTTCCTTTTGCTTCTCAGGCTTTTAATATGATCTTCTGATACTATTTCCAATTAGGCTAATTTACTTGGAATACTAGTTTGAGAACAGATGATTGCAGAGAACTTTGGCAAATAACTTTTCTGTTCTGCTCAATGACCACCAGGAATTTTCTTTTATATTGTTCTTGATTTTTTGGATTCTGTATACTGAAAGTGTGCAACTTTTGATGGTCTGTGTTTGTGTTAGTTTTTGCTTCTGTTATTCTTTATCCGCATATAATCTTTTTAAAATTCACCAATAACTTAGTTGTGAAAATTTTTATTTTTGACATAAATATAAATCAATGCTATGGTTTTTCCTTCCACTCCTTCACATCATTGTTAGTTCAAATGGTTGCAGAAGTTGCATAAAGGCTACTTCCTGTGGGCAAAAGTTCATCTTATATATTACTGTCAAATATTTTTTACTAGAAGCAAAAATTTGGTTTAAGTCGCCTGGCCAATGTTTATCAGAAAATTTCCAGAACAAGCTTACACTGTAATAGCTTTTCCAGTTTTCTAAATTGTCAAGCCCTAAGGATTTGCACTCTTCTTTGCTTGTGTTTGTGCAGTGCGGCTATTATTACAGCTTATTTGATGAGAACTGAGCAACTATCTCAAGAAGGTTTGAACAAATCTGCTGTTTTTTTGGGAGTAATGTGGGTCCAAATTTGGTACATGCTGTCAGCTTTTTTATCACTTTTTTATTTTTGGATATTAGGATGCATTTTATATATATATATATATGTATGTATGTATTTGTTTACTTATATTTATATTGAACTTATACATTATCCTCGTGTTTCTTTTCCCCTTTGGCATTTTCATTGTTGCAGATGCCCTTGAATCTCTAAAACAAACCTGTGAGTTTGTTTGCCCCAATGATGGGTTTTTAGAGCAGGTAATGCAAAGGAATACTGTAGAAATTAAGTGATATAGTTTTTCAGGCATTTCGTTGTGGCTATATGATTCTAGATTCTGACTTTTCTCAAAAGTTTCAATTTTCTTCGCATTGCAGTTGAAAATGTTTGAAGAAATGGGTCACAAGGTTGATCACAGTAGCCCAATATACAAGCGATTTCGCCTAAGAGTGTTGGGTACATTCCCTCTCTTTCCTCTCTCAACCTTTTTATTTCATCTTGCTTGATCTCTCCTAATATTCCTTGAAGATATAGGATAGATTTGATTTTTTATTTTAAACTTTGTTGCTATGGTTTTTTTGGTCTATTCTAGCATTTTGAGTTGAGAGACATAAGGAGAAGAAAGCCATCAACTTTAGCAGATTCTGGGGTGGTGATGGCTGTATAAAAGAACTACTGAAGGCTGAGTAACAATGGAAAGTCATAGTCAAACTGGTTTTGCACATTTGTGGTAAGACTGGCCATGATCCAACCCTCAACTGTGGCTGTCTCACCTAATTTAAGGCTTTAACTATCTAAGTAATGAGTTAATGACCCATGAAGCGCATGTCAAAGCATTTTTGGCTGTAGAGGGCTCAGAAATATTGTCAACTGTGGAAGTAGAATGTCTTACCTCTTAGGGAAGAAGGATTACATTCCTGTCGAAGGCTTCAGCTTATGAATTATTATGTGCTATGGTTAAGTGGTCTTATGAAAAGTAGGATATTTTAAAGGTCTTGAAAAGTTCAAGGTGTGTGTTTTTGTGGGATCAGTTAACCTTATACTTTCGAAATTAGGATGTAGGAAGCATGAAACCCTTCATGGCAGAAGGTTAAGAAAAAAGCATAATCTGATCTTGTAGTTGGAGGGCAGAAAACTTAGTTTGCAAATTATTTCTTAGTTTGGATGCTGCACCTTACAATGGTTTAAAATATGAAGCTTATATAGAGAACTTGGAATAGGTGATTGAAGAACAGAAATAGGTGCAATGGTGGTTGGATTCCTATTCTGAATGAAGTTGGATGTCTGTGGAAAAGGTTCATGGAGATATAACTGAACCAAATAAATTTGGTGAGTCACGAGTGAGAAATAGTTATTTTGGGTTCAACCTTAACATTCCCATCTAATTTAGGAAACAATATGCTGACAATATGCGGATGTTTGCAGATCTGAGAAAAGTATACTTCCCTGAAGTGGGCTTAACAACCTTTTTTGTACTTTGTTCATCTAAAGTGTTCATAATGTTAGGGCCATGGTTAACTTTTTTCTACTTAGGAAGGAATATGCTCACAGTGATGTGAATGTTTGCAGATCTGAGAGAAGTATAGGGAAAAGTATACTTCCCTAAATGGGCTTAACAACCATATCGATACATTGTTCCCCTATATGGTTCAGAAGTGGGTCTGGTATGCCTGAGAATTGACTTGACAAGCCTCTTACAGTCAGTTCATCCTGTCTCAAAACATTTAGGTAGGATTTATTTTAACTCTCATAAACCAGAATCCATCCATCACTGCACATGCATATAAAAATTTGTGCTTTTCCATTTCTTAAGTATAAGCTAATGAGATGTCTGATTATCTAAACAAAACATACCAATTTCTTTGGTCTTCTGTTTTGCTGTCTCCCAAAGTTTGTCCACTACAATATCAGGAGTCACCTATATTTACTTTTGCTTTCATATCCCCTGATATAACACAGTCATTCCTCATTGAGGGAAATTATGTAAAATGTCATAGTCAACCGCATTTATTGTTGTTTTTTAACTTTTTGCAATTAAAATAGGTCTTCAGATTATGGGAGGGAGAGGCTAATTGTCAAAAACTTGGGAACTTGATGGCTAAAGTTTTATTTTTCAAATGACAATGGTTCATTTCAATGCTTGACATGCAATTATGGGCATAGAAATGTGGTTTGAGAATGGAGACAATGAATTTAATTAACATAATATACCTTTCATCATGTCTATCCTTTCTAGTGTTGAAATTGCACCTTAGTTGTTGCTCTGCCCTTTGGACCAGAGTTATTTCTTTGGATTCCCTTCATTTTTCAAAGATGAAAATATCAACCATGCTAGGCCATAAGCATACTAAGCATACCTTAATAAATCTCCAATCACCTTCATTGGTGTTCTGTTAGTGCTCCTTTCAAGTGTCTTGGTTTTGCTTTGTTTCTTGTGAATGAAAAATTGACCTGAAGAAGACGAACTTTTTCCTTTTTTGTTTTGCCTTTGAGTTCCATCCATTGGTTCTGTTGGCAATTATGGTCAAGTTTAATCAAATACCATCTTAAATTAAATTGAACCCTATGTAGCAAGTTTATTCGCCAATCTGTCAAGCTATTAATCAATCCATTCATCCAAGAAAATGGGGGAGGGGGGAAGAGAAAGAAAGCTTCCAGTTGTACTTAGCTCAAGACAAGAACCATTCTATTTTTCTATCTTGGAAAGCACAGAGTTGCTCTCAACCTTTAAGAATCAACACATTGTCTTAATCTTCAGTACCATTCTGGCAGTGGATGCTGTGATTTTGATTATATTGTTCATTATGTATAGTAAAATTATCAGAGTGTTAATGGTGGGGAAAAGTGACAACTAGAATGCAGTATACATTATATATGACTAGTGTATAAGTAGTCCATGTCAGGCATGTAGGAGATGGTAAGATGGTTGAGGTGCCCAGTTCAGTTTATAGATTCTGTTATCTCGTATGAGAGAGGTGTCAATAATTTGTTATCTCCAGATTATTTGCAAGTTCTTTCTTTCTAGAATATTTAACGTCGTAGGAACCTACATATTGGTTGAGACTGGTTACTTAATTATAAATTTCAATTATTTTGTTTAATAATCATTAATCCGTTATTATATATAAGCACTTGAATATTCAGTTCTGCTTTTGGTGCATTTTGGGGTTATCGAATGCTCTTGGTTATGCTTGTTTGTTTGTTTGGGTTATTGTTATTATTATATAAATGGCTGTGGTATTGTTTTGGTATTTCAATGCTAGTAATCTCCAATCCTTATATATCCGTCCCTTCAGGTCAAGGTATGATGAATCATAGAATTCTATTTATTCTATGCTATTAGTGCCCCAAGATCTGGTTATGTCTTCATCTATGCAAATGGACTAAAAGTGTTAATACATACAATGTTGAATGAAATTATCAGCCTTTAATATGCTTTTATACATATTCTTTTGGGCTGGCACAAGTCAGCTTTAACTGTTTTTCCCTCATATGCTTCAATGTTTAGTATTTTGTTTCTGATTTTAGGATGATACCATGCTAATATATAAAGGGACTGATTAAGTTTAGTATCACTAGTCAATTGAAACCAACTCAATTTGTGAATTTACATAAAAATAAAAGAATGGTTTGTCCTTCACTTTTCTCAGAAATGAGGGACTGCTTGAGTCCCATTCTTGTAAGTTTCATTACTTGCACTTACAAAAATGGTTACCCTTTTTATTTTTTAAAAACTAGTACCCATTTCTTCGTTTTAAATACAGTGCCATGCTCAAGCTCAGCTCAATTAAAAAACTTGAGAAGCTTGACTGAGCTTTGTTGTTGTTATTATTATTATTATTATTTTGTACTTGAGTTTAGTTTGAAAAATAATCGAGCTACTCAAACTTGACCCGGTTGGGCATGATTGTCATTAACTTCTCGAGTCAAGCTCGAGCTTGAACTTAAACTCAAAGTTCTTGTAAAATCTGAAAATATGTAATAAATTTAATATTTTATTTAAAAATGAATTAAATATTAAATATTGTTAAAAAAAACTCACAAGCTTGGTAACACTCATGATCTGCTTAGTGGGTGTCACCAGTCTAGGAACCTTTAATACTTTCTTGAGCATAGAGCTTTCTTTGACAATCTGTTTTCCTTTTTTTTTTAACCTTTCATCTTTGTTCATTGTCAGCAATTAGACTGAAAACTGAAAGCAAATAGAAATTCATCTTTCATGGGTATCATCTTTGAGATAGGTGTATGTGTATCATGCTGTCAGGTGATTGTTATAACCGTGGAGAGAAAATAGACAGTTCTAAATTAGGTGCTGATCCTGGCTTGCCCACTGAAAGTTCCTCTGTTATAGAAGCACCTCCAAAAGAAGGAATTAATCGAACTGCATACCGCTGCAAGAAATGCCGAAGAGTTGTGGCATTGCAGGAGAATGTTGTTGATCATATTCCAGGTGAGGGTGAGACGTCTTTTGAGTGGAATAAACGGAGAAGTGGTAACCCTTTCAATAAGTCTGTTCAAACTGAGTGTTCATCAATATTTGTTGAGCCCTTGAGGTGGATGACAGCAGGTGAGAAAACATTTTCCCAGAAGTATTCTATTTTGAGTTTATCATGTTTGTTCCCAAATCATATTTGATCTATTGCTTTGGAGTTTTCGTCATTTGCCAAGCCAATACTTGTTGTTGACCATACTTCACCTCATTTAGTCCAAGATATGTAATTTGGTTTCCACATAACTTCACTGTAATTGATGAATTTCCATGTCATTCAGTTGAGGAAGGTGCAATAGAGGGTAAGTTGTCCTGTGCTCATTGTGAAGCTCGGTTGGGTTATTTCAATTGGTCAGGCATCCAATGCAGTTGCGGAAGCTGGATCACCCCTGCCTTTCAGCTGCACAAAAGCCGGGTGGACATCAGCACTGTGTAGAGCTCAAGTGCTTGCTGGTCTTTCCAACAAGAATTATTGAATTATAAAAGAAAAATGAGGTGTTAAAAGGTCCTCATGTTGGTTTATCTGCTACCTCTACAAGTTTGACAGATTGTTTGAAAGCAGTCTTGCGTTATGGTACACGGTTGGGTTTCAATTGCATTTTGGCAATTCTTAGTTTTAGATTATGCTGTGGTGAGGTTTTCTATACTTAAGATTTTTCCTTTCCAGCGTGAAACATCTTAAAACCGATTTCAATGATATATTATATTATCTTGAGCAAGGTTAAGACCTGCTGTCAGTATTCTCACTTTAGTTAGGGTTGTCAACAGGGAACTCGATAATTTTGAGGTACTCTGTCCCTAACTCTACTAATATGTACGGTGTTCGAGCTTTATTATTATCTGATTATTTTTTAAGCTTCTTATTTGAACTCGAATTTTAAAATTTTTCTCACTATTCCTTAACTATCCAAACTTGTTTAAATATCCATTTGTGTAAAAAAATTTTATTAACCACATCAGGGGTGTCATGGGTTTAGAATTTTAACCAAAATCTATAGTGGCTAGATTTGTATATTGAAGATTAAGCTTAATTTTGAGTTGCAGCGGAATATATGAAAACTTAAAGACAATTTGAAAAAAATAAGAGTTAGGAGAAATAGGAAGTATATTATTTCTCAAAGCAAATACCTAAGATCTAAGTAAAAAATTAAATTACTTGATGAAAATAAAAATTACCTAGGGTGGCTATTGAATATACCTTTAGGTCTGTCCATTTGATTGCAGATGAAAGCTAGTCAAAAAGTTAAGTTGCGATCTTATCATCTTGAACAACTTTAACCAAAATTTACCTGTGATGCATGCGTCTTTGTCACTCACTATGCTCAATAGAACTCCCCAATACTTGACAATGTTGGTCATGAAGAGCTTTGTAGCCTCCATTGTTGAACACTCGTGGCTTGCAGTGACGAATGTTACATACTTAAAGAAACGGTCTACAACTACCATGATGCATCCTAATCCTTTCACCTTAGGAACACCCATGATAAAATCCATGCTTAAACACTCCCATGGTCAGCTTGGAATTGGCAATGGTTCTAATAACCTTGTGGCCTTCCTTTGTTTGGACTTGTCTAAGACATGTTCGTACATATGTGTCCACGTTCTTACGTAAAAGCGGCCAATAGTACCCTTATTTTACTAGTGTCAACATACGGTGCATTCCTGGATGCCTCGCCCACGTCGAGTCATGACACTTATTGAGTATCTCCTTTCGAAGCTTGCCATAGGATGGCAAATAAAATCTCGAGCCCTTGGTGTATAATAACTCGTGTTGAACCTAAAACCTTCTAGTCCTCCCTTCCTTGACGTAGTCCACTAGTGTTTATGCTACCATGACGTGCGATAGCCTTTCTTTGATGTATGGCACGAGTACGACTTGCGCCTCGTTAACAACTGCTAGTATGGCCTTACAACTAAATGTGTTTGCCACTAAGTTAGTCATCCCTAGTCTATACTCAAGTTCATAATCAAATTATTTCAAGAAATCTTGTCACCGTGCTTGTTTAGGATTCAATTTCTTTTGATTTTGAAATTAAAATGTGGCTGCATTGTCAGTCATAACAACAAAAGGTGTTCCGAGAAGATAATGTCTCAATGTACGAAGATAATGTACCACTACAATCGTCTCTTTCTCTTGGACTTTGTACTTTTTCTCCATGTCATTGAGCTTACGGCTTTCACAACCCACAAGATGTCCTTGCATTAGTACACCTCCAATAGCAAAGTCTGAAGTATTTGTGTGCACCTCGTACGACTTGGCATGGTCTTAAGTGTGTTGAATGCTTATTGACTTCATGTGCTCCACTTCCAAGTGATACCTTTTCTTAATATGTCGGTGAATGGTGCAATGATTGAAAAGTGTGTTGTCATGAATCTTCTGAATAGTTTGCAAGACCTAGGAATGAACATAGTTCTATTACCTTTATGGGTGAATCCCACTCAAGTATGGCTTTAATTTTATCCGAATCCATCCGAATAGTACCACCTCTAACTATGTGTCCCAAGAAAGGGATTTCTTTTATTCTGAAAGAACACTTTCTTTCTTCACGAGTACCTTATGTTCTCTTAGTGTTTCCATTGCTAGCCTAATATGTTCTACATGCTCGTTTAACATCTTAGATTAAATAACTATATCGTCCAAGTAAACAACCACAAACTTATCAAGAAATGACTGAAGTACCTTGTTCATTAAGGTGCAGAATGTTGCTGGTGCATTTGTTAAGTCGAATGACAAGACGAGGAATTTGTATTGTCCGTAATGTGTGACACATGCTATCTTTGTTGTGTGAGGGCTAATCATTCTTTATATATAAATAAAAACACAGCAAAAATATAATTAACAAATTAAATTATGCCTCACACTTCTAAGATCTCTGTCTTGTCAAATTAAGTACAAAATTAAATTAACAAATAAAATATATGACCATATCACTTTACCTAAATAACAAAGGTTGATGAATCTTTTGTTAAACCACCAAAACAGCCTTCAAAAAGCTCAACCACCTTAGCCCGGTTATTGAAAACTAAAGTTGTCCAAGGAATCCTTGTGCAACCTCTAATGGTAATCCACACTAATGAATTAGAAAATCCTTCTTTTAAAATTGACAATGTGCTAGCAAATATGACTTTCATAAACTCAAAATCCATCCAAAAATTTGGGATTGAACTCATAAAATAAAGCAAGTGAATGAAAAATTATTATATCTTCACACAAAGGGCGGTAAGGCAAAAAGAGTTTCAAGTGTTTTGTTTTTTTAATTTTTCAGCCATTCACTTGATTTTTGTTTGGAGGCTATAACAAGGTATTTATATCTTGGATTAATTTTAAACCCTAATTACAGAGCAATAATGTAATTACCAATTAATCTAATAATTTAATTAAACAATTTAATCAAGTAAGCCTAATTGACTTAATTGTTTAAGTTAAACAATTAAGCCCAATAACTTAATTAAATAATTTAATTAATTAAGCTCAACAACTTAATTAAATAATTTTAAACAATCAAGCCTAATGACTTAATTAAATAATTTAATTAATTAAGTCCAACAACTTAATTAAACAATTTTAATCAAGTACTTGAAAAACTCATAACTTCTAATTTGATTAAGTCCAACTTAATCACCTTTCCCATTTTATTTTTAACATTTATTTTATATGTGTGACTCATTAGGCTTCTAACATATTGGCAATGAACTTAATATATAATTCTTAAGTTAAACTACAAATTAGATAAATTTAAACTACTTTAAATTTATTATTAATCAAGTCAACTACACAGAGTTCATAAATCAAGATTAGGATCTAGCAATTTATAATGGCCACCCAAATGTTAGAAAAGTCAAAACGGTTTGACTCAACCTTTCAGTGCTCAACCTTTTAGTGTGATTCAATCCCTCATCATATATTCCAGAGATAATAAGAGCACAATGTAATGTCTACTTTTATTGATCTCCATATTCGTTCTTGAAGTTTGATCATTAACTTTATAGAGACTTATGAAACTCTTTTCATAATCTCTAAGTTGCATTGGTCAAGGACTTCAATAAGCTAATATTAACCAAGAATTGTTAGGATATGTCCCCTAAATCACTAAGGGTGATGATTCCTATCTTGACCACTCATTTGCCTTCACATGCATTATGTTATATGCAAAAGCATCTTGTTTTGGCATCCTTGGTTAGGCACCTATAGGAATGAAATCAAAGCACAACACTTCACATACAAGATAACTTAGTATCTCAAATCTAAGGAGTATTTACACAATTGACACATAAGAAGTATCGCATAGACATTTAAGTGAAATACCAAATGCACTTCTCATGACGGGCCATGTTTAGTGAACTTGCTCTCCTAGGCAAGCACCTTCATTCTAATTCTAAGAATCTCAATACTTCAACTTATGAGATTGATTTTCTTATTTTCCAAGTAAGGAATACTAAAATGTACCAGTCTCTAGGTATTATTGATGTCCAATCGCAATAATACATCAATTAAGAACATTTAAAGATTATGCTTTGATGCATAAGGATCTCCTAACTACAAAGCATTATAGTTCCTTTGCAAGGCATATTAATCTCATGGACTTCATCCAATTGGACTTATAACCCCTTATAATTAACATCATATTGATGAAAGCAAACCTTTAATCATTGAACATGAATGATATTGTTGCATGATTGGAATCAAGCCTTAACCAATCTCAATTGGCTACAGGGCTCATCCCAATAGTTATGGGCACATCTTTTTTGGTATGTGCACCTAGTAATATCCAGAGTGTAAATCAAGCTTGGTGAACCATTTGGTTATGCTTAATTAAACAAGTCCACTATAAGCAGGATAAGATACTTGGTCTTTATCATGAGCTTATTCAACAATCGATAGTCAATGCTTAAATAGAGGGTCCATCGTGCTTGCACTAGAACAAGATTGAGGCACCATATGGTGACTTTGATGACTTAATGAACCCTACATTAAAGAGCTCACCTAGCTACTTATTGAGTTTGACTAGGTCAGGTGGAAACATGTGATACAATACACGTGCTAGTGGTCGTGCATTAAGCACTAAGTCTATGTGATGGTCAATTCCCTTTGTAATGGTAATTTGTTTCGTAGACTAGCAACCATCACATCCCTAAAGTTTTCCAACACCTTTAATACATCTATTGGTGCCTTTACATGTGTAGTCACCTGGTTCTCCTCCTTGAGAATGGTGGCAAAGGTTTCTACATTACGTTTTGCAGCCTTTGCTAATTACATTGTAGAAAGTAGTTTTGACTTAAATCCTTATTTATGTCGAATTGTTACTACACATTGTGCCTTTGAGTTAAGTATGGTGATACAATTCGTGTAAGGTATGAGCAATTCGTTGATCAGATCTAAGATCTCATAGTATAACAGATTCGTAGTCATCCATAGGAATAACATCGACAAGTTTCTTACCTTGCCATGTGCCTAGTTGTACCTCCACTTTTTTGCTTTCTTAAATTAGAACTCTTTTCAAATTCACAATCTTGATGTAGCTTTCTCCCAAGTTAGGTTGGACTCCTTAACGTTTGGCAGCATTCTTCTGACATGAACAGATCTGAGGCTCCCATATTGACTAATACCTCTATCTTTTGTTCATTAATCTCGATGTCAGTAAACATGAGACTTCATCTTTAATTAAATCTCTTTTGTTAGATTGCACCTAAGACTATTGATCCAAACTTCTTAGATTCCTAATCA